TTATATTCGGTTCATGTTCCTGATTGATGATGACGAGTTCAGGAAGCATCAGAACAGGAACAGGAAGTGATGTCAGCGGCATCAGGTGAGCCTACCTGGTCCGGTGGGCGGAGCCAGCTTCTGGGTCTCTGAGGTGGGGCTGCCCGGCAGGTAGGTGGTCATCTTCTTCTCAGGTGTACGGTCCATCATCAGCCTCTGAGTTACACAGACACACAACAGGGTTATGCAAACACACAACAGGGTTAAACAAAAACACAACAGAGTTAAACAGACACACAACAGGGTTACACAGAGACACAACAGGGTCACACAGACACACAACAGAGTTAAACAAAAACACAACAGGGTCACACAGACACACAACAGAGTTAAACAAAAACACAACAGAGTTAAACAGACACACAATGGGGTTATGCAAACACACAACAGGGTCACACAGACACACAACAGGGTTAAACAGTCACATAGAGTCACACAGACACACAGCAGGGTTTCACAGACACACAACAGAGTCATGTGTCAAACTTCTGATTACTTTTCTCATATTTTCTGCATCTGTTCTCACATCATGACATTATTATTATTTATATGTTATTTACATGATTTAAGTTGTTCTGAGGACATGGATGGATGATTTAATGTTTGCATATGAACATCTGATCAAACAGCTGATCAATGAGAGTGAACAGGATCACAGTCGGCACTGGTTCTGTGGTTCTGACTCCTTATTGGACCCAGCACTTATTTTAAAACTGATGGATTCACCTGATTGGTCGCAGTCACCTCTAACAGCCAATCAGCTCGAAGAATCGATGTCAAAAAGTTCTGTTTATTAACCTGGAACATATCAGTGAGGTTCTGAACTCTGAGTCCAAACACTGATCAGTTACTGGTTCTTTGATGACTGCAGGTTTTGATCCTGAACAACCAGTCTGCTGCAGACACACGTTTGATTGTTTTGGTCCCAAAAGTTTGTGAATCCTTCAAACTGCAGAAGATCAGGATCAGCTCTGGAGCAAACATGGACTGAACTGATCAGCTGCTCAGTCTGAGCACCAGGTGATAAAATCAGTTCTGTGACTTTAACATGAGCGTTTCTTTCCTCTGAACCCACATTCAGATCAATCAGCTGATCGATTGATCTGAAAGAGAACCACAGATGAGTTCGTAGCAGCTTTTCTCTGATCTTCAGAACTTTGTGCTGCACTGACCCACCCTGACCGGACCGACCCTGACCGGACTCACCTGAGCAGGTGAGCCTGTGGCTGCAGCAGCTCCTCCTCCAGGTGTTTCTCACCTGAACACGCTTTAAACGTCCATCTGGGCGACAAAACCAACGGCTGATTCTGGTTCCGAGGCCACGAACCGACAGCGCGCCTCCGAACTGCGGCTCTTTGTGCGTCACAGCCGAATGTTTGCGAGTTTTTCTGCGTGCAGCCGCAGCTCGTCTCCCTTCAGCCCGTCCGTCTGTCCGTCCGTCGCTCAGACTCGTGTTGTTGCACGAACTCGGCTTGTTTTGGTCAGAACACCACCCTGGCCCCGCCCACTGCCGCCCTCTCAGCCAATAGGAGGAGCGGATCCTCCTCGAGGCCCCCCAGAGCGGCTTCCTATTGGTCCAGAGAGCCCAGCAGGAATCATGTGGAGAAAGTTCTGCAGCAGGAAGTTTGTGTGTCTGTGTGTGTGT